ATATGTTTGAGAAAAAGCCCAGGGAAATTAGCAGTCAGGTAAGTGTTTATTCCCCTTATTAAAGTTCTGAGTCACCTGTTATGTCTACAGCTCATGTCCAGCCCTGTTTCTGAAAATTCTATGTCTCTATAAACTATAAACTAGCCACAGAAGTAGTAGCAATAATGGCAATAAGATTAAGAATTAAAACTGTTATTATAACGAACATGTGCTTTATCTTTTCAATACCTTTTTGAAGAATTCTACAATATTATTTAGAGGATTTTGAGCCCAAAAAAAGCACAAATTACTGGCAGCCAAATATGTGTATGTTGTTGTAATATCATAAGTGATTGATTATCATGATTAAACTGAACAGTGGAATTAATACATAAATACAATTAATATTCATAAAAATTTATTCCAGTTGTAAAACTAATTCTTCCAACAAAAATGCATGTGGTAGTGGTACACAAGCAGTAACATTACTACTTTCAAATAAGGGAAATTTATAAGTAGAAGCAAATACTTCTGTTGCAATAAATGAGGCATTTAAAAGCTGAACAGGTTTAAGGCAGCCACAATCTTCAGAATTGCAGTAGCGTCTGTGAGTAAGGAATGTGATTATCACTGATTCCTCCGTCTCCCCTTGCCAGAAGATTATAATTCCGTTTTCAGCTTAATTCAACCTGGTAACATTAAGCAAATCACAAGTGATAACATTCCATTCAGAACAAGTGTTAATAAATTGACAATATGGGCACCAAAGGATCTATTTATTTTGAATTATTTTGCCAAATGCCCCAAAAAGTCTTCCAAATAAATGGCCGATATTTTAAACAATAATATATAAAATCTGGTCATACAGGATATAATAATTCATTATTTTCAATTATTATTACAATTCTTCCGGTTCTGATTAATTTACCATGCTGAAAGCCTTGGAAAATGAGTCCGAGATCTGCAAATTTTAATACCAGGTTGGAACCAATGATGTAATCCCACAGATAAAGAAAGACAATTCCCAAAGCTTATTGGCTTTCTATCATCCATATAAGTAAAAATATAAGTGGTCCCATCAATATTATTCGGATAAGTCAAGTCATTCCAAGGAGGAGAGAGGATACTTACAGTGATATACACTAAAACATCAGTATCTCCCCAAAAGACAGGCTTAAACATAGGTGTACAAGTGACATAAGCACAAAAATTTACAGCTGATCCCTGAACAAAAGAGACAATTAACAGAGCACATACGGCCAGAAAAAATATTCAGCTGTAACTGGTCTTTTGGACTGCTGGACAATAATCTGACCATAGAGCACAAGAGATTTACCTAACCCCAAGTTGGTGATCATGGTGAAGATCAGTATTGGAGAGGTCACTTCCATGAGTATAATTTTACCAGGGCCAATATTGGAACGTCTACTTCAGGAGTCATAATTGTCACTCATCCTGAACAAACAATACCATACCCGGTCCCTTTCACTATTAGAAATGAAGGCTGCAATTCAGTATTTATGGCAATTTTTCTGCTAGTTCAACATTTGGAGTATGAGCAAAATATTTCTCTACTCTAACTAGAATATCCCTTCAGTGCAGATTCAAGAAATGTAATATGTATTAATGAAAAGTTGCCCTAATTCTTCCGAATATTTCACATTTATTCCTTACCAAAATCTTCCTTTTTAAAATTTCAATTTGCTGTTTTAAAATGTAATGGAATTGAAAGTATGATTAATTTATCAAAACGGAATTTTTTCTTTTTATTAAAAAATTCCACCTCCTTTCCTCCTCCCATTTCCATTCCTCCCCTTCACCCCCTTCACCCACCCTTTCCAGTCCGAAGAGCAATCAGACTTCCATGCCTTGTGGGAAGTCCAACGTCGTCCTCCCTCCATCACGGTCTCGGTAGGTGAGCATCCAAATAATGTAGGCTCCCACAAACCAGTACATGCAGTAGAATCAAAACCCAGTGCCATCGTCTTTGGCTTCTCAGTCAGCCCTCATTTCAGCCACATTCAGAGAGTCTTGATTGACCACGTTCTTCATCAGTCACAGTCCAGCTGGCCTTGGTGAGCTCCTATTAGATTGTCCCACAGTCTAAGTGGATGGGTGCACCCCTCGTGATCCTGACTTCCTTGCTCATGTTCTCCCTCCTTCTGTTCCACATTTGGACCTTGGGATCTCAGTCCAAGTCCTCCAATGTGGGCTCTGTCTCTATCTTTATTCATTGCCAGAAGAGGTTTTTGGTGATATGCAAGATATTCATCAGTGTGGCTATAGGGTAAAGCCAGTTCAGGTAACCTCTACTTTGCTGTCCAAGGAAAAGTATGATTAGTTTATCAAAATGGATTTTTATATTGAACATGTAGATGATTAGCATTTTATGTAAATGTCCAATGTCATCTTTAACAATGAAAAAGGCTACCAATGATCCATTAATGCATTTCCAAATTTTCGAATGTCAGAATGCAACATGAAGAAAAGTAAGAGTGTTTAGAACATCGGAACAATGGAGCAATAAATCCGTGCAGAGTTAGTATGTGAGAGATCAGAACAGCATGAGGAGCCAAACTCAACAGGGTGTGCAAAACTGAATCAGGGAGCAGTAAGTATCCCACAAAATTATGATATTTTATTGTGTAGATATGATTTTATACACCAGTATTCCATACTGAATACACACTGTTGTGATTTTATAGAACCAATTTAACATTGAACTTTCCAATACAAAGACCTATCGATATTACTGTACAGTAGAAAATAATTCATTTTTCTTAGCCTCCAACATTTGTTAGTGGTTTTCTCCTAATTGTGTTAATTGTAGAGAGTTTTCCTTCTTTTTGACATTTCATAGAGGGATGTCATTATGCTAAGCATTTCTCATTGTTTCTTTGCTTTCATTTAATTTTAATGACCATTTAAGATTTCTATCATTTTGCATTTTAATACCCTAATTTTATGCTTTTTTTCTGGAAGTTGGAGTCAATGTTTTCTGTGGTTCTAGAGATAAATATTTATGACACTTTTGGAAAATAAGTTCTTTCAGAAATGTTGCAGAAGAAGTTTATTAATCTCTTACTACTGTCACCCTAACAATATGGAATAGGATTGATTTTGGCATTTGGCAAATTTTCCTTTTTGTCTAATATATATATATATATATATATATATATATATATATATATGAATCTATGTGTGAAAATTTAGACATGTCTATGCATATGAAACAAGTAATAACCTCTGAAGAGCTAAATTTTGTCAATTTATGGCATTTGAAGTAGCTGGAAAATCACACATTTTACCTCAATATGTTGTACTCCTCTTAGTTGTGGTTTTGGCATTAACATTTTAGGATGTTTATAGAAATTATAGCTATATTCATGGTTTCAGAGACTGACTCCCAGATCCTAATACTGTAAACAATTATTTAAATATCTTATTTTTAAGATAAACAGTAAAACCTAATTTTATTTATTTCTTAGAATTATTGTATGGGCGACTTCAGTATGTTGCTCTTATTTAATGTATGTGTGGAGTATATAAAAACCACAGATACTCTAGTGATCCTATGGTTTTAGTTCAGGAGGCAGGCAACTATTGTAGAATCTGTACGATTGCCATAATACAATCAGAGGAAAGAAACAATAGAGTAGTTACTTACATTTAAAAACATCAAAGTCTACTTTAAATAATAACCCCTATGTTATTTTCTTATTTTATGTTTGAAAATTAACAGACTCATAGAGGGATCTGTCCATGAACTGGTAATTGGAAATATGAACAACTGGATCTGTTTATAATATATACATGTGAAAAAAACAGTATACTGCCATTATCATGTTGTCCCAGGACATGGAGCATGAATGAAGAAATCTCTAAGATTTACTTGCCTGATTTCATACCACATATGGCACAGTTCAAGGCTGTTGCATTATATTATACTAGCACATACAAATAGTAATTGATTGGTATTTATGTATATGTGCACTTTTATTATTGAATTTCCATTGTGTAAGTGTTTATATTTAATTGCTTCATTACAAAATCTAGAGAATGTTCTACTGTATTCTGAGGAACTTTATGAATGCAAAATATTATCAGAATGGCTTAAATTATTTATAGAAATGATAAATTGGAATGATAGATTTTCTCATGTATGCTAGCATTGAAATTATGCCCATGTGCTAGAAGAATGCCCCATATCAAAACACACACACACACACACACACACACACACACACACACACACACACATACTTTCCATGAAGTCAGATGTCACTAAAAAGAGAGAACACAAAAATGACCTGAGGCTGGAGTACTGATATTGGTGATTACAGGGAAAATCTAGAAAATGCATTGCATTGAATTTTATACAAAATTAAATATATAATTCATATAAAAGTTCCTTAAATATTTCAACTCTTTAATTAAGACTATTACTCTGAAATCAATGTGAAAACATGTACACATATGTGAAACACTAATATAAGCATGCAGACAATTGGGAAATTTTAAAAATAATACGTATATTGTTCTTCCAAATGAAAACATCAAATTGTTGCTCAATTATTGTGACGTTTTTAGATAGAATTTTGTAATTTTTGCATGTTCAGACTGGGTTTTAAAATAACATTCCTATTTAGAAAATATCCTTATTATTACATAATTTTTATGTAAAATGCATTCATATTGGTGTAAGAGGGCCTTCTGTTTACATGTTGCTTTCATTGGTTAATGAATCAAAAACTGCCTAGGCGTTTTGATAGGGCAGAACTTTGGTAGGCAGGGGAAACAAAACTGAATGCAGGGAGAAAAAAAGCAGAGGAGAGAGCTGCCACGGAGCCACCAGATTCAGACATGCAGAATCTTTCCCGGTAAGCCACTGCCATGTAGCAATATACAGATGGATAGGAGTGCATTAAATCAAGATATGAGAGTTAGCTGATAAGTGGCGAGAGCAAATGTGTTAAGAAGTATTTTAATTAATATAATTTCTGTTTTGTTATTTTGGGGCTAAGAGAGCAGGATGGCTGGGACGAGCAAGCAGCCTTTCCCTGGAATAACTGGCACTCACCGTGATCAACTAATTCAATAAAATTTATGAACTACAAAAGGTATGAATAAATACAACTGCTTATTAAAACTATTTTTTTTGCAAATAGAAATGCATACATATAAACTCACACTCTATACACACTGTGGCAATGATGTGTATCCATTATTATCATCAGAGTTTCAAAAACACAATTTCAGTAATCTCAATCCATTACTACATGGTGAGCACTAGCAGCTCCAATATTATCTAGTCTAGTAATCTTCTGGTCAATCCACTACACCAAATTTTCAATAAGGTATTGTGGTTCATTTTCTTCCTGTAAAATCACACACACACATACACATACATGAGCTCACATGCACTTGACCCTATATTATAGCATGGTTTTGTCCTTTCCATAATCCATTGTAATGGTCTTTTCATTTGCTTTAGACAAAAGTCTCTTTGACACTATCATGCCAAAATCTATGCATGGTATAATGCTTGTGGGAATTCACATTTAGAAAATTTAGAATAAAATATGCATGATGCAGTGAATTATGTCATGACTGAAGGATAACTTACATTCATTTATTTATTTATTAAAATTGTATGTTCAAGAAGCCAGGGAGAATGCTCAACTGAGTCAACACTTGACCTGCAGCATCAATATAGCTCACATTTAATTAATTAATTAATGTATTTATTTATTTATTGGAATTGTGTATTCAAGAAGCCAAGGAGAATGCTCACCTGAGTCAACATTTGATCTGCAGCTTCAATATAAAACCTGGGGTAATTGGGTCACTTCTCCCAATTATCTCACTGCATTGCTCAAGATTTTCAGTAGACAATTTTAAAATAGGCATAGTCACTGAATATTTACCAGTCATTTCTGATAATCCTTCAAAGATTTCAAACTATTGATATCAATTTCCAATTACTGAGTCTTAATTTCTTTAGGATGAAATATATGTCCTGATTGGGAAAGGTGGTTGCTTTTGTATTTTCTGCGGGAAATGAACTACCCATAAGGGAAAGGTTCTGATTAAGCTGTCCAATAATTGTAAGCAAATTACTTCATTTTTTATGGACGAACAAGATCCGTAATGGATAATGTATACTTGTTGAAAATATTTAGAATATTTTGTATTGCATGAACTACACATATATTGCATAATATTACACTGTTTGCCATTACATAAGGCAACACTTATCAATAATATCTCCCAATTTGGTCCTTTAATTGGCCTATGGAACACTACATGAAAATCTTTGAAAATATTTTGGAACAAAAGGCATGGTAAAAATCAATCTATTAAATCTAAAATATTGTATAGGTACGATTTGGTCCATACCTTAATGAGAAGGTAATTAGTCTAGTCTCTAGAGCTCAACCTAGGTGCACGATCTCATTAACTATTTATAATTCTTCTATCAGTTTCCATTTTACAGATTTCTATGTTGTGAGAGAATATATTTACGTGTATACTCATGAAAAGCAGCAGCCATAACTAGTCCTTGGGTGTATGAGGTTAAAATTTCGCAACAATTTTGAATGTGATCAGAAATGGCACCTTTCTTTCTAAAAGATGTCAAAGTAAGTTGATATATTATATTAGTACTCTCGTAGGGTAGCTGTTTAATAATAAAAATCAACATTCTGGATGTTTAATATTCTTATTAATGGCTGCAACAGCGTGGAAATAGAATCCTGGAACAACTCAACAGGTCCCTGTATTATTTAAGGTAAGTCCATTGTCTGCTCTCCTGAAGAAAGAAATTTATTCCAAGAACTACTTGGGCCATATTACTCACAGCTGTAGACTGACTTTGTACTGAAAACTCAGTTTTCCTCGTCAGGTAGCCTTTACCTATCAGGCAAGCTTTGGCTGTTTATTTCAAGTCCTTGGAGTATGGCTTTTAAATCCATATACACTAGCAGCATGTGTAAAAGGAGAACATTGGTCACACTGAGTTTAGGTTCCTTTTAATACTTTGCCTTGTTTAAATGGTTTCAGGTCTCGTTGTCTGAGATTTCCCTGATCATCTCATTGCTCTATTCTAGAAATACTGGAAATCCCTGAACATCTTCACATCAGCTCACTGCTTCTCTGGAAACTAGCTTGTACAAAAAATGCACAAAAAAAGGTGGGTGTTTGCCTTGCTCCAGGAGATCTCTGCACCATAGATGGATCTAAACCAGCCACTATGTTAGAAATGTAATTCTTTTATAACAGAAGATTTTCAGACACTTCAACTTCTGTGAAAGTGAAATTACTAAGTGTCTCAGGCCTTTTAGCACCTGTTCTAGCTTTCCACCATCTTTGACTCTCAGAATTCCTAGTCAGAAGTGATTGATTTTAAAGATCCTCCCTATGGTATTTGTGGCTTCTTCCATAGCTTACTAGGCTCAGACTGATTGTATCACAGTACCATAAATACTTCTTAATCTATCAGCTCCCCTGTCTGCAGAGTGTCTTCTCTCACTTCTAACGATTTCAGGGGAGTCATCTATGCTGTTCAGGACAGAAAGCATAACTCTCCCTATGAAATACCCACAAATGAAATAATTTGCCCTGCCAGAAGCAGATATGTTTCACTTTTGAGAAAATTGTAAATTCTTAAAACCTTTTAAATGTTATGTTCTTTAGGTCTTTGAAGTGTTGAAGACTTTCTATGTAACTGAACTATATCTCTGCATATCTATAAAAACTAAATAATGTTATTATGATTTTGATTATTATTAATGACTATCTATTAATCTTCTTAACTGTACATATTTAAATGATCAGCAAAGACAAAACCTTAACCAAGAGCAGAAATACATATACCAAAATCAACCTTATATGTTTATCAGTAAAATAAGATCAAATCCAATGTAAATGCTTCATTTCCTTATATAATATCCAACCTTAAATAAAGATCAACATATATGGTTATTTGGAAATTTGCATGTAGTTTTCTCCAAAATACTTTCTATGCTTTTGGGAAACTTTTTATAGGGTTTCTGGAGGTCTTCTGGGAGCTCTTGCTCCTTCAAATAACGTTGGCCTTGAAACAATCCACAGGTTCTCATCTTCTGTGGAACTAAAGCAGGACATCTTTTCAAAAGTAACATATCCACCATGTGGAGATGGTGCACACCTTTAATCCCAGCACTTGGGACTCAAGAGTCAGAGGCAGGTTTGTCTCCATTAGTTTTAGTCCGGCCTGCTATACAGACCTAGTTCCAGGACAGGCTGCAAAGCAACAGAGAAACCATGTCTTGAAAAACCTAAAAACTAATAGAGAATCTTAAGATTCAAAGTTTTATGCATTGATAAAATATGTTTTCATAAACCATAGGAGCACTTGAATCAAATATCCATCTGTCATCCCTGTATGACAATCAGTTATTTTTTTAAAATTAATTATTTTCTTTTGTTATTTTCCAACCTGACTGCAGCCTCTACTCTGCCTCCTATTCCACCCCTACATTTGGACAACCTCTGAATCTGTTCCTCCACTGTATTCTCACAGTATGAAGGAGTTTCTCATTGCCACCAGATAGCATGGCATAACAGCTTGCCATAATACCAGGCAAGCTAAAAACATAACAAAATATAAATAAAATATAAATAAATATCAATAAAATATAAATAAAAATATAAATCTCCCTATATTTATGCAGAAAAATGCATTCCTGCATGAGGAACAATTTTGAAAGTATCAGCCAAAGCCACAGAGGCAAATCATTCTCTCACTGCCAGATGTCCCACGAATAGTTCAAGGATCACAACAGTCACAAATAAATAGAGGAACTAGGTGGGTGTCATGAAGGCACAGTGGTTGTTGGTATATCACACAGTAATATCTGAAAGTCATTCAAAGTTTGTGATGTTTCTCTTTTAATTTCCAACTTCTGAGGCTTAATTTCTTTGGAATAACCATATATCCCCAAATGATCAAATGATGTCTGTCTTTGTACTACTTTCACTGGGGTAATTACTAACTCTAAAAGTAAAGGATTCTGTTGAAGTTGACAACATATTAGAAACAAACTTACTTCCTTTATATGGACGAGCTAGTCATCATCATTAAAGCATAATATAAAACTGTGGAAATTGAAATGTAAGATTTTATGTAGCCTGAACCACAGATTTCTGCCATAACATAAATCTTTTTGTCATAACCTGAAGCAAGATGCTCTAATGCTATTGTCTAACTTGATATTTGAAATCAACTGATGAAACACTAACTGCAAATTTTTGACAATTTCAGTGAGCTCAGGGGATGGTATCAAAACAATCTTTTAAATATAGTACAACATTATGGGTATATTTTGTTATGGAAGAAACAAAAGGCAATGCAAGATGTAAAGCTCCCATTACCTCTCATTAATAGTTTTTAAATCTTATATCAATCTCCAATTTCTGGATTTATTTGTCAGGAGAAACATCTTTAACTGTTTTTTTCCCTGTTAAACAGAAGTCATAGCTAGGCACTGACTATATGAGTGTCCAATATCTGAGGATATTCAAACAAAATCATAAATATTACTCTTATTTCTAAATGGTCTCAAAGCAGACTTAAATACTATAATAGTATTGTTGTAGGCTAGCTTTACCTCTCAAGTATCCAGTTTCGGTGTCTCCAATTAATCTGTTTGTTTACTGCAGCATCCTGAAACTATTCATCAGGTCCCTGAATTACTTGACATTAGTCTTCAGTCTGCTCTTCAGAAGACAGAAGTTTATTCCAGGCCTTCTTGTCATTGAAGTAACTTGGACATATACTGCTATTTCAAAATTTAGTTGCTGATTTCTTTTTCTATGAAGTCACTCACCAATAAGCATATTAAAAGAAAAGGGAATTTGTTGGGTCAGATTTCTCTGATCTGTGACCCAATATCTTTCTTCATGTTTGTTTTCTACAACAGATAGTCTCCATTTGACAGGCATGCTTTGTTCAGTTGTTTCCATTTCCCAAAGTGTAAGGCTTCTAAAATTCTGAACTCAGCAGCATTTGCATCAAAGGAGCATTTGGGCCATATTGTGCTCGAGTTGCTTTTAATTCTTTGAGTTGTTTGAATGGGCTCAGGGCAACTAAGTTATTATTTGTGTTGCACTTATCTTTGCTCAATTGCTAATAACATTCGTAATTTCTCCCCTCAGCAAGTTCCTTCCCTGAAACTAGCTTGCTTGAGAGATACACAACACATCTGGGTGTTTACACTACTCCAGGTCTCTGCATCATTGCTTGATCTAAACCAGACCTTGGGTAAGAAGAGGAATGCTTTTTTGATAAGAGGAGATTTACAGAGTTTCCTCCGTCTGTGAAGGTAATATTGCTAAATCCCTCAAGCTTTTTAGATCGTGCTTAATTATTCCACCAGTTTCTACTTCTCAGCATTGCTCACCAGGAGCAAAGGACTTGAAAACTCCCTATTCTTCTTCTTAGCAGTTTCTACCTATTGCTCTCTCTAGGCACGGGCTGATCATAATCAAAGAGTACTATAAATATTTCCTCATCTAACAGCTCTTGTGGTGGATAGGAGTGTCCTGTCTCACTTCTAACCATTGCAGGCAGAACTACGTTCTACCTATTATGTGCAAATACAAACTCACCCTTATGAGCCCCCACAAATGAAAATAATACTATGGGCTAATTCCAGGTTATAAGGATCTTGGTTTTTCACCTCAATTTTTCTGTGTCCAAGGGACGATGCTTGGGAAATCAAAGGGTAAGTTTCTCAAAAAGTTCTAAATATTTTGATTTTTGAAACTGATCCACCTAAGCTCCTCTAGCTTGTAAATTATCTCCTAGGCAATTGCATAGTCACTTAACTACTGATTTTCTGTCACAATACAAATTTATATACAATTATAATCTCTTATTTTTCAACCCATGTTCACTTTTACTTTTTTCCCAAGCATTTACTCTTTACTTTACACCTGCGGAATCGTCTACCTTTTGGTATTGATCAAGCAATATGTCCATAGTCCATTTTCACTTCTGAGGAGCCATCATTTATTGTCCTGACCTACCCATTTCCATACTTGTGGAAGGGATAAGGATTAAGATAAAAATTTACAAGAAAAACTATATAGATATTAAGGACACACAGTGAATACTGATATATATCTCAAGATTATTATTCAAAGTTCATATATATCTCAGTCCAAAATTGATTTAGGAGGCAAGACTTGCTTGCCATGATACTAAGAACAAACAAAGTAATATTCTCTCAAAATCACCAAACACGGAACAACCTAAGTCAAAATATCATTATTCTTCTCACAATGTCCTATAACAACACCTTACATCAAATCATACTAGCTTATACCCTTCAAGAAGCATGTGTAGATCTGTGGAATTGGTGAGTCCCGTGAAGCCATCTTGGATTTGGTGTATCTCACAATAATTTCTGAAAGTAGTTCATATTTTGTCATCTTTCTCTCTTGATTTCTTATTTCTTATGATTAATTTCTCTGGATACAACATATATCCCAAATATTCAAAACAGAGCTATTTTTTTTTATTTCACTGGGGAAATTACTAACCCTGAAGGGAAAGGATTAAGCTGAAGTTGACAAGATATTTCAAACAAACTTACTTCCTTTATAAGGACAAACAAGTAATCATCCTTTATTGGATGATATAAACTTGTTGAAATTGATCTCTAATAATTTATGTAGCCTGAGAAACAGAATTCAAGCATAATGTAAAACTTTTTGTCATATCATGAATCAAGATATTCCAATTATATCTTCTAATTGTATATTTGAATTGACTGATGAAACACTAAATGCAAATATTTGACAACTTTGAGGAACCCAGGGAAAGAAAAAAATAAAAAAAACAATCTTGTAAATCTAAGACAATGTTATTGGTATCTTTTGCTGTGGAAGAATGAGAAGGCAATAGAAGCAGTAATTAATCTAAATAACTCTTCTTGAATCTTATATCAATCTCCAATTTCTAGATTTCATTGTTAGGGATAACGTCTATAACAATTTTTTTTCATGTAAAGGAGAAGTCATAGCTAGAAACTGATTATATAAGAGTCCAATATCTGAAGATATTCAAATGTAATCAGAAATATTACCTTTCATTCTAAATGGTCTCAAAGCAAACTTAATTACTGCAATAGTATTGTCACATGTTTGCTATTCATCTCGCAAATGTTCAGCTTCTGTATCTCCCGTTAATATGTTTGATTACTATGTCATCATAAACAATTCATCAGGTCTTGATTAAATTTATATTAGTCTTCAGTCTGCTATCCACGAACAGAAGTTTTTTCCAGGCATTCTTTTTTTTTTTTTTTTTTTTTTTTACAATACTGCTTGCTCTATCTAACTCTTTTTTTAAATTTATTTTTAATTAAAAATGTCCACATTCTCCCCTCCTCCCATTTCCGTCCCCCTCCCCACATCCTCTCCCTCTCCTTCTCCAGTCCAAAGATCAGTCCATGTTCCCTGCCCTTTGGGAAGTCCAAGATGCTCTCCCCTCCATCCAGATCTAGGAAGGTGAGCATCCACTCAGACTAGGCTCCCACAAAGCCAGTACATAAAGTAGGATCAAAACCCAGTGCCATTGTCCTTGGCTTCTCAGCCAGCCCTCCTTGTCTGCCACTGTCAGAGAGTCCAGTTTGATCACATGCTTCATCAGTCCCAGTCCAGCTGGCCTTGGTGAGCTCCCATTAGATCAGCCCCACTGTCTCAGTGGGTGGGTGCACCCCTAGGGGTCCTGACTTCCTTGATCATGTTCTCCCTCCTTCTGCTCCTCATTTGGACCTTGGGAGCTCAGTCCATTGCTCCAATGTGGGTCTCTGTCTCTAGCTTCATCCTTTGCCATATGAAGTGTCTATGGTGATATGAAAGATACTCATCAATATGGCTATAAGATAGGGCCCTCTCAAGCTCCCTCTCCTCAGATGCCCAAGGATATTGCTGGGGACAGATCCATGAACACCTGGGCACCCCTCTAGAGTCAAGTCTCTTGAAACCTTAAAATGGCTCCCTTACTTAAGATATATACTTCCCTGCTCCCTTATCCACCCTTACTCTATCCCAATGGTCCCATTCCCCCAAGCTCTCCCCGTACTCCTTTTCTCACTTTTCTCTCCCCATCACCCCTTACCCACACGCCACCTCCACCCCCAAGTTTCTAATTTGTGTATTCCAGGCATTCTTTCCAGTTGAATTAACTTGGGCATATGCTGCTATTTCAAAATTTAATTGCTGATTTCTTTTTCTACGAAGTCCCTCACCATTAAGCAAATGAAAAGAGGTGGGAATTTGTTGGGTCAGATATCTCTCATCTCTGGCCCAACAATTTTTCTGCATGTTTGGTTTCCACAACAGATAGTCTCCATTTGAAGACAAACTATGTCCTGGTTGCTTTTAATTCGTTGAGTTGTTCAAATGATCTCAGGGCACCTAAGTTTTTATTTTTCCTGCACATAACTTTGCTCTATTGCTAATAACATTTATGCTATCTTTCCTCAGTTTGTACCTTCTCTGAAACTAGCTTGCTGAAGAGACATACTACTAAATCTGAGTGTTTGCAGTACTCCAAGAGGTCTCTACACCATTGACTGTTCTAAACCCACCCTTGTGTAGGAAGAGGAGTGCTTTTCTGATAAGAGGAGATAAACAAACTTTCCTAATTCTGTGAAAGTGATACTGCTATATCTCTTAATATTTTCAGCTCCTGCTTAATTTTTCATCATTTTCTTTTTTTTTTACCTCTATCTTCTTTTTTTTTATTAAGAAAAGTAGAAAAAAATTTCCACCTCCTCCCAGCCTCCCATTTCCCCCCCCTACTCCCACCATTCTCCCCCTCCTCCCACCCTTCTCCCCCCCCACTCCTCTCCCTCTCCCTCTCCAGTCCAAAGAGCAGTCAGGGTTCCCTGCCCTGTGGTAAGTTCTAGGTCCTCCCCCCTCCGTCCACATCTAGGAAGGTGAACATCCAAACTGGCTAGGCTCCCACAAAGCCAGCACATTATGTAGGATCAAAACCCCGGGCCATTGTCCTTGGCTTCTCATCAGCCCTGATTGTTCACCATGTTCAGAGAGTCCGGTTTTATCCCATGCTTTTTCAGTCACAGTCCAGCTGGCCTTGGTGAGCTCCCAATAGATCAGCTCCACTGTCTCACTGGGTGGGTGCACCCCTCGTGGTCCCGACTTCTTTGCTCACGTTCTCCCTTCTTCTGCTCCTCATTGGGACCTTGGGAGCTCAGTCCAGTGCTCCAGTGTGGGTCTCTGTCTCTATCTCCATCCATCACCAGATGAAGGTTCTATGATGATATGCAAGTATTGCTCTAGGATAGGGTCATTTCAGGTTCCCTATCCTCAACTGCCCAAGGAACTATCTGGGGATCTCGGCTTGGGCATCTGGGAGCCACTCTAGGATCAAGTCTCTTGCCAACCCTATGGTGGCTCCCTTAACAAAGAATTGTGATTTTGTGCTCCCCTATCCAAACTTCCTTTATCCCAATCCTCCTTTTCCCCAAGATCCCCCCCATCCTCCCCTTCTCCCTTTTCTCTCGCCATCTCCTCTTACCCCCATCCCACCCCACCCCCAAGATCCCAATTTTCTCCCCGGCAATTTTGTCTACTTCCCATAGCCAAGAGGATAACTATATGTTTTTCTGATGGTTCACGTTCTTACTTAGTTTCTTTAGGATCACCAATTGTAGAGTCTGTGACCCTTATTTATGGCTAGAAACCAATTATGAGTGAGTACATCCCATATTCATCTTTTTGGGTCTGGGTTACCTCACTCAGGATAGTGTTTCTGGGTTTTGACTAGTACAAATAATGCTGCTATAAACATAGTAGAACAAATGCTTTTATAGTATGATTGGGCATCTTGGGTATATTCCCACGAGTGGTATTTCTGGAACTGAGGTAGGTATATTCCCAATTTTCTGAGAAACCGCTACACTGATCTCCAAAGTGGTTGTACAAGTTTGCATCCCCACAAGCAATAGATGAGTGTTTCTTTTAATTCACATCCTCTCTATCATATGTTAACAATGGTGTTTTTGATTTTAGCCATTCTACAGGTGGAAGATGGTATCTCAAATTGTTTTTATTTGCATTTCCCTGATCACTAAGGAAACTGAACACGAACTTAAGTATTTTTGGTCATTTGAAATTCTTCTGTTGAGAATTCTCTGTTCAGTTTAAACCCCATTTGTTAATTGAGGTATTTAGAATTTTAATGTTCAGTTTCCTGAATTATTTATATATTTTGGAGATCAGACCTGTGTCTGATGTGGGGTTGGTGAAGATCTTCTCCCATTCAGTAGGTTGCGTTTTTGTCTTAATG